TAGTTCTTCCTCGTGGCACTCTGAGGTCATTAGTATTTCTTGTGTGGTATTTGTGTATGTCATAATTATGTAGAAGTTGATGTTTATTTTTAAATATAATTTTACACACTTCCAGGATATATAGGTAGGGTAGTGGGAGTATGCGGAGCTTGGTAAAGATCGGTCTGCAGGGTTGTGTATATAGTTTGCACCACATATGCATCTAACGATTCTCTTCTGTGTGACAAAAACTTGATTGAAGGTGGATGACCGACCCCAGAGGCACAAACCATACCTGAGCCGCAATTCAATGCAGTCAAAGTAGAACATCCGAAGCTGTTTCACATCTAGATAGTACCTAAGGTAGCGTACTCGATAACATTCAGTATTTAATTGTTTTATTTGTTACTCAGTTGTAAACGTTAGATTAACAAGACAAAACGCAAACGGGTAAACGTCATGTTTAAACGCTACTGACTTGTAAAACTGACAGCAGACCTGTAAAACTGACAGCAGACGTGTAAAAATTTTACAAGTTAGTAATCTAGTAATTTCATTGGCCAGAATTAATGCGAAGTCTCTGTTACATGGATAATATGATATTTTAGACATTTCTTCAAGATTAATTTAAGAACTAATATTATTTACGTTTACTATTGTTTACAAATGAGTAACAAATAAAATATTGTACATTATACGCCAGGTAATAGTTTTTACTGGCTCTAGGAGATGACAAGCTCGCCTAAGGGCTCGCTAGTCAACTTCTCCTATCGCCAGTAAAAACTCACTTACCTGACTAATAATGTAAAATACTATAATTAAGTTTTTGTTATGGGATATCCTGCTTAGAGTATCATCGAGTACGACGCCCAGAAACTTTACTGTAGTTGGTTTTTCTAAATTAGCATCATTAACAGAAATATTAATGTCAAGAGTATTAGTATTTTGATAATTGTGAAATTGTAAAAATTTCGTTTTGCTATGATTTAAGAATAATAGATTATTCTCAAACCATCTAGATAAATTTTCAAATTGTTAATATACTTACATGTTGCCCGTAATTCATTTTCATCCGGGTGTGAAACAACCACGGCCGTGTCGTCCGCATATAGTGAAAGAGTTGCATCAACCGAGATGCAGCTCAGAACATCGTTTGTAAATAGTGTAAAGAGGATCGGTGCTAAAATGCTCTCTTCGGGTGTACCCACGTTTAGCTTTATGGTGTCTGAATTAACGTTAGTGGTGTATCCCTTATTACTATGTCGCAATGAGACATACTGCGTTCGATTTTTAAGAAACTTTTCTAGCCAATTCAGGGCAGTGCCTCTGACGCCGTAGCAAGACAATTCCTGTAACAGTAGATTATGGTTGACACAGTCAAATGCTTTAGTGATATCGCAGTATATCCCAATAGGCAGTTCTTTTTTCCCTATCGACTGAAGCACTGTATCGTAGAAGAAAAGAATTGCATCAGTTGTGGATTTATTAGGTCTAAAGCCAAACTGGTTAGGTATTAATATTCTACATTTTACAATAAATCTTTCTAGTCTATCCAAAAGCCATACTCAAAAATTTTTGAGAAGACGGATGTTATAGAGATAGGTCTAAAATTGTTTGGAGTGTATTTATTCCCCTTTTTGTGAACTGGGATAATTTTTGCCAGTTTAAGGGCTTCTGGAAAAGTGCCAGTTAAAAAGGATAAATTAATTAAATATGTTAAGGGCCTCACAATTACGTGAGAGATTATACGAACCAAAAAACAAGGAAAGTCGTCAGGTCCTGCCGATCTTTTGCTTTTTATTTTGTTATGAATATCTCCGAAACGAATCAATAGAATTTAAAAAGCAAAGCAGATTAGTAATCACGATTAAATTGGCTTTCAAATAATGTGCCATTTGCCATAGGATTCCATTTAAAATTTTAGGGGTTAAGCTCCCTACGTAGAGGGGTGAAGACTTGGGTTCGTGATTTGTATTCCAAAAGTTGTCCCCCTCGAATACAAAATTGACGTGTTCGAGGATTTTGCGAAATTTCTAAATTTAATACCCTAAAAGCCCTCTGTATACTTCTCGTTGAGCCACTCTGTATAATTTTCTTTCCACTAATAGGAATAATAACAAAAAAAACGTATAAAAGGAGTAAAATCGAGAGTAAAATACATGCTCCTGGTAAAGTAAACAAAATACACAAGGATGGGAAAGTATGCAGATTTAATATAATCATTGATTACAAATCTAAATATACATCGATGTGTTCCAGTAGTATAATTAAGGCCAGTTTACTATAGCCACTACAACTTGACAACTCCCATTAAATTCACTGTTGTGATGTTTTGATTAAGGGCGCGCTATCAGTATTGTGTGTTGCCTATCTCACAATAGCTTTCTTATGGGAAACATGCCTAACGGAATTCATACCGTTTTTAAAAAATATACATTTTTTTTCGGAAATGTTTGTTATTTCTTGTTCTTAAATGTATGTAAATTATGAGTGAACGGTTTATATTGCATTAAAACTCATAGCTCATTCTCTGAAAGTGTATAAAGTAGACGTTCGATTACAATGGCAACCTTTTGTGTATAATTCAAAGGTCAAAGAAGTTTTTGAAATATAAATTGTTTCTCCAGATTCTTGAACATATAAGGAATAAAACGTGATGTAAAAATGGATAATATGTGGTTTCTAAAGCACAAACGGTATGAACTCCGTACACTTGAAGAATAACTCGTAAAACAATTATAGAAAAGAAATCTGTGCTCAGTGTAGTTCAACGTGTATCCACTAAGATGGCTACGGTATACTATTCTTACAAAGCGGGAAATTTAAAATGGAGCACTTTTTGGAATGTATTAATGTATCTATTTTTTAGCAGTATAACTTATTCCTTTATTGGCTTTGTTGGTCATTAATGCAGATAAAATGTATCCAGCAAAAAACCGTACCATAAGTAGGAATTACACTGGTTAACGTACGTTACCTACATTCAAAATTTGGGTTAGGAAACTGGCAAAAGAAGTATTTATAAACGTTGAGTTTAGGATCATGGGATTTTTCACTCTACGTTATAATTAATATAAAAATTGCAGAACTTGCAACAAAAAGAGGTTATGTTGGATTGTGTTTTTGAATTGATAATACACAGTGTTAATACTGCTGCTTACGTTTACCAGATGAAGCGCTTCATGAGCGCTACTTAAGGGCAAGAATACTCTAATCAAAATTTCTCGCCCAAGTTGCTATCTAATAGCACTGTCGACATGTACGGTGGTATTTACACCTCGGCAGTGCTATCGGACAACTCTGCAAGAAATCAGTAACTGGAGATTATATATTTATTCGATAATAAATGTACACATCACTTACAACTAAATTTAAGCACTATTAATAATAACGAAACCCCACCGATTGGATGTCATCTCGGTTCCCATAATTTGAATGAACTACATACTATCGGCATTGAATAATTCAATGCTATCGGTATTATATCAAAATATGATTTCACACCCAAACAACTAACATTCAATTATGAGTCAGTATTGCTGACTTGCAAATCTGGTTTTCCTAAAAATATTGCGTGGATTGTCCTTTGTGATCATAAAGGCTGAGTATTTCTTATGGCCGATTCACATTATTATCGGTCAGGTTACGGTCAGAACATGAACAGAACAGAAATACACGTTACAATAATTGACCGCACCGTGTTCTGACCATGATGTGACCGATGGCCTTATATAAACGCACTGCAATGACATCGTTCGGTAAAATGATAATCGGAAAAAAATGTACTCTGTCGGAAGTCAATCTTCGGAAATGTGTACAGTCGAAGGATAGCCTAAAACAATCCATTAATAGAACTATATTAAAATAAAGATCCTCAACTTTACTTACCTAGGTAGGTACTGTTTTTTTTTGTTATTTTGCAGTTAATAGAAAATCAGGTAAACATAATCCATAACATAACCCAACTTTGAATGGCATTTCAGGAATTACAAGTACGCACTGTTATTGGGATTCAAATGAATTACTGAACAAAACCGCATATTATGGTAAATAAGTATTTTTAGGTAGAATTTATTTCGCAAGATCACTAAATTCCCTTTTTAGAGTTACGGAACGATATTTACAGTTACAGGTGGTAACCAAAGATAAGCAAAATACTATTTTTAATTTTATCTCAAGCAAAGACGAATGTAAGCGAGTGTTAGCGACCTAACGAAGTACAAATAGGGATCGCGGATTCGGGATGGCAGCACAAAGCAACGAATATTTCAAAAATACTTCTTAGTTCACTTTTCTTACACCATGGGCGCACTTAACGGGAAAAGTTGCACAATTAAAGAGTACTAATTATCATGCTGTAAAGAAAACCCGACAATTCCGATTACTTCCGAAGATATGCCAGAATAACTGAAATTTGCCGATGCTGTTATTTTATATTTTTCTGGCGTTATTTGAACAGATAGAAAACAATAAAAAACACTTTCTCGTTGCCGTTGCAATAAGAAATAAAAATAAAATTTTTTTGAAATATTCGTTTCTTCTAGAATGTTTAAGAATCTTTTAGAAAACTTCTTAGAGATCCACGAAACATTATTATTAATCCGTTTAATGATTCTTCAAGATGGTGCGGGAACAAAGAATATCAAAATAAGTGCATTTTAATACTCACATGTGATGTGCCAATGTGGGCGTTGTCTTACGCTTTTGTAAACCTATTTTGCACGTAGCCTCATTCAAGGTAGTCTATCGTAGACTAATTTACAAAATCCACGTTTGGAGTACGACACATGTTCTATACATCCCATGCGAATGTTGTTTTTTAAAAATTGGAAATTCGTTTTAAAAGGAAATAAAGGGTTTTTTGTACTTGTTTATGCCTTTTTTCATAAACTGACATGTTCATTCTGCCTCTATCAACAACTCAAAAAACAAAAATTGTAAAAGATTCTTACATTCACTAAATTCAAAAACGTAGTAGAAAATGAAAATATAATCGCAAGGCGTAAAACGAGCCCGTGTGGAGCAGTGGAGACTGCGGTACCAAGGGTCCTTGGTTCGAATGCGGGAGCAGACTTGGCGGATACTCTGCCTAGTTAAAAATAAGGACCACAAAACATAAAGAGAAAGAACTCGTGAAAAAAATCGGAAGTGCATAGCAACAATCCAATTAAGTTTCAAATCGGAATAATGCGGCTTACAACACCTTCTTGGTACCCTATACCCTGTAAAATGTATAGATTCCAAAACAACACCCGTGTCGACGTCACGCCATCAAATCGATCCCAAACTTAAAATTTAGCTGATCACACCGAAACATGATAGCTCTCATTCTATTGGTCTTTCCGTACCCTGTCACAAGGTCAAATTTTACGTCTCCGACACTTTCAAATATAACATTCAAATTTCCCGTCAGGTCTGAAAAATTACTGTAATCTTACTTGTTGCATTTTTTGCAGATCGTTATTTTCAATGTCTTGCCTATCTAAAATACCAGTCATCAGCTGAACGTCACCTCGAATCGACGTATGTATGTCCTTTTCTGCCGCCAAGTCCAAAATTCTCATACCGTTGACGACAACCCCCGCTACTATACCCGAGAAAGGTCGCTCTATCCTTGATTTACCCTTACTCCATTTTCCTCCGATCTGAATTTGAGATTGACTATTGAACACTTGCAATTGATGCCCTAAAAATGAAAATAGCTCCAAATCGCCAAAGACCACTTTTACCTGTGGGGTGATTGGTTTGAACGTTGTAGTCATCCACTTGCAATGTCGCATTAGAACCCGAACGCTTAAATCTAACTACGTGATATGTATTGTCATTGACTTTCAGTGATATTTCTCCAATTGGATGATCGTGCGTCCCCAAATTATATACCATGAAGACATTTCCTTCGACCTAAAAGTGTGCATACTTACTAGCGAGAAACTACACTAAGTTTATAATTAACCTACCACTTCAAGCTCGATGTAATCATTTGATGTACCACTAATTATTCTCATTATAACCGTATCTGCTTTAGAAGTGATAAATCCCAAGGCGATGATGTCGTCTTGCATTTCAGGCCTACGATCCTCAGGAAAAGTGTACGTTATAATTCCACGATTAGGCCCAAATTCGTAAGCCACAGATTCTGGACGAAGCGCAACATGTCATATGAAACCCTAGCACAAAATCAACTCACCATCAGAACACGTTGGTCCCGTAAATGAGGTCATATCACAATCGCATGTGTACGAGTGCCACTGTTGGACACAGACACCTCCGTTAGCACAAACGTTATGGCTGCACTTAGTGGATTGCCCTAAGAAATTGAGTGAATCAGAAGAAGCTTGATAAATCACTGAGTCTACCTTCACAACCAGCGGTCACCAACGAACTATGGACCACAGCATCTTCCATGATATTCGGAGATTCGCCATTTAAATCCAATCCAGCGATGCACCCTTCAAATCCGTGTCTGGATTTGACATCCTCTTGGGGCAACTGTGCGTATAAATCTTTGTGAACACCACCCAAATATAAAATACCATCCAGTTCCAAATTACCCGTACCTTGATTTACGGCTATAACTATGTTATCATCAACCATTAGAGTGTGCTGTTTTAATGAGGGCCTGCGAATGCCCACTGTATGCCATCTATTATCGTTCAATCGTGTCGGAACTGTATCTGTTAATTTCACAGAACCGTCACCGACATTTACGATGTAATTGATATGACCGTCGACCAATTCGACTGCCACGAAATCTTCTTTACGTCCCCCATTAAACACAATTAGACCGTTTGCTTCGCGGGTTTTAAACATAAAATCAATATGAATACTAGAGTAAGCACGTAGCATTGGTAATCCAATAAACGTATGTTTCGATCGAAACGTCACAGGCCGATGTAGATTGTCCGTTGCTCTTTTAATAAATTTGGCCGCAACCTTAATTGTAGGAAAACCGGAAACCCTCTGATCGGTACTGGAGGAACGAGCCAATTCTATGTATGGAATGTTGTTGAAATAAAACTGCTGGATCTCCCCGATAAAATTTGGAACCGTGGTAGTCATCGTGATTTCTTCTTCTTGATGATACAGTCCGCCGAGATGAATTGTTCGCCATTGCAGAGCGTTGTGTTTTCCTAATGTTTCGGCTGTAAAAAAAAAGATTTCAGTATATGGAGAGTCTAAACACGCATAGGCGTGATAATCTAATTTAACAAATATTTGACGCATAATTTGTAGATGAAACGGTTAATTACGTGAAAACTTTGGCATTATTACAAAGTGAATACATACCCACCGTATACATATAGAAAACTAATGAATTACATTAATAAATATTGTATAATGGAGTATTGGCATGCCAATGTTAATGCATTAAAGTTGTTTTTACGTGCCTCCATATTCATCATAAAGCTTTATTGATTTTCTCATTATGGCGTTTAGGATTTTACATGTCACCGCGTATCCCAAAATAGAAGTTGCATGCCTGTTTTCGTAAAATACGTTTTGAAAGCAAGCACCTTTAAAAAAATCGCAATTTCCCGAACTAATTGAATCTTTCAATTTCACGCGGTCATTAAATTAAGGCTGGGATTGCCTGAAAAGAGAAGTACCCATAGTAAAGGACAAAGTTTTTTTCGTTAAAATGTGCTGGTACCTAATAATGAATAGCGTAACTACAGCAGCTTTCTATACAAATATTTAAATAATTATACTCTCTTTAAGTGGGCCCCAAACAACACAGAGGGTGCTTTAAAAAAATGCAATTTGATTTGCATAACCACACGACAGTCGACAAGAAGATACAAAACACAAACGCAAGGCCGTTCACGGCTCCTTACAGACAAGGTTAACAAAATTATAATTAGTTCTCTACCACACATAACTTGAGGAGAATAATGAACCGCTTGTAACGTAACTTATGAAGTAAAAATCGCGTAATTATTGGCATGGGGGACTTTCAAAATTAAGGTCGTAAAATTGGTTCACAAGTGGCGACAGGGGCTTTTTGTTTGGGAGGACCCTCAGTAAAACTCTTGATTCCTTCACTTAATGAAATTCAATGTCATTACGAAGTGTGTTTGTTATAACGATCCTAGTGCCTATTCAAATAACAGGTAACGAAGACTTTGTAATTAACAAAATGTTATTACAGTAAAGACGCGTTTTGACTTTTAGGACTTGGAAAAGTTCAACCATATTTTCGTTTTTTTTATATTGTTCTCTGAAACGGTAGGGACATTTCGAATTAGAACAAGCAAAAGCTTTTATGGAGAATGGATTTTTGTCAAAAAGTATAGTAAAAGTTTTTCTTCTTGTAAAGTCAATCCGGGGACATACGGTATACCGATTTTTTTTAAATTTTTTAGCCGTTTATACCTAAATATACATTTGTTCCCAATGTCTTACATTCCGAGGGATGGTGTTTTGTAAATTAGTAATTGACAGGCTGATTCGAATTCGAGGGCCACCATGGGAATCTCGGGAAATGTAAGAGATAGGTAGGTGGTAAATTTGGCAAAGTTGTGTATGCTTAACAAAAACAGTTTTGAAACTGAAATTCTGACTACTTTCGGAGATATCCGGAAAAAACGAGATTTTGAAAATCGTTTTTGTTTTTTACTGAAGTTAATAATAAATGACACATTATTATGGCCACTTTTTTCCCTCTACAAGATGCTACTTTTAAATTTGAAGTTTGACGTTTCGTCTCCGGTTAACTATAATCATTGAATAAAAACACTATAAGAAGCCTAACGCTTATTCAATGCTATAAACAACTTTGTTTCTTATGGAAGTAATTTTTACTTTTTGTGTGATTTGATAGTGAATTTTTTTCTGATTTCAAAAATGTATACATCAATGTTTTTAATGCTTGTAAAACATCTTTTTTGCCTTTGTCTTAAGTAACGTACGTAAGTAGTTTCTTGCGTTTTTACGAATTAACGTTATTTCTTATTAAAAATAGATGATGTTACCATCAAGGGTAACTTTGTCAAATGTAAACTACCTATCTCTTACAGTTCCCGAGATCCCCATGGTGGATTTGAATTTGAATCACCCTGTATAGGTCAATTATTACACATTACACTAAACTGACTAAACTAATACTAATAATATGTAATAGGTACTATCATTGAATAAAGAGCTTTATTCAATGGTACTATTGAAGTTCAAAAAATTTAATTTGCAACAAGTATGGATTATAAATTACGGTATTTTAATCTGCAAAGTGCAATAAGCAAAGATAAAGAATAAGGAAGAAGGTCAAACAAATCGCATTACAAATAAACACCCACACAAGGTCGCAACTTGCCAGACATCAACAACAATATACAACAGCCCTTTGTTCTAAAAATAACGTAAAATTTTGATATTTGTTATAAAGGAATGTTACCTATCCCCATTTCTATTATTTATTTCATAAAACGATAGGTAGAGGTAAGAGGAGGTTACCTTTTGCAATGAATAGGAAAGAGAAACCAAATAAATTTCGAAGCAAGTAGTTGACAAAATAAAAATATACCAGTGAACGATCTTTTTCTTGCTGTCAGCAAATTCTTTTACAAGCAGGCTCTGTTTAACCTTGAAAGAGAATCGCTAAATGATTTAACATAGGCAACTTACATAGCCTGCTAGTTTTTTTTTTGCTCGTAAATTTTTGTCTTTTGTTATCCCCATTACACAGTACTAGCTCAACGGTACTAGCCTAGTTAAAAAGTAAGAACAACTCCATCGCAAGATAAAAGCGCTTATGTACCTATTTCATATCTTTATCGTATTTTTTACCGACTTCATGAAACTCTTGGTGGCACCCTCTGTGAGAAAGAAGCTACACTGTTGACCGCGATATTAGTCACAGCTGCGTAGTTTATTTCCATTTCTCCAGTTCACATGCCCATTTTTCAGAACTTCATTCACCACTTTTTTTATGAAAATTTTTGAGCTTCACATAAATTGCCAAAATATAGATAAGTATTCACGCTACCGATCCCATACATTCGTATTGCTTAAAATGCTCCCTAATTTTTGCAATTAATTCCTAAACTATGAACTCTTTTGACGCATGTTTTCTAGATTTTTTAAACATATATTAATGGACAAAATATCAGTTTATATTGTATGGAAACTATGCTCTGTACATCTATCTACCTAATGCATATTTTTCCGATCATATACACCCCTTGCTTATGGAATGGTGAATGAAGTTCTGAGGCAATCAATGCACGCCCCATTGAATTACATGTGCATCACCAGTTGCCTATATTCTCTAAATCCAAACCTTAAGCTTGCCTTCGCGCGTCTCGAGTGGTGTATTAATAATTACCTACTCCTTGGGATGATAATGAGTTTGTTAAGAGCCCTAAGACATAAAATATTGCAGCCACCTTCTTGTACCCTGATGTCCACCAATCAATACGTAAAATTAGTAAATAGTAGGTACCATTTCTATGGGCCGCTTGCTTAAATTTAGATATTTCCATAGCAGTTCAATACCTTAGGAAAATCTACCCCTACTATGCTTTTTGGGCGCAAACGATTGAGAAACGTTATATTTCTTTAATCTGTTATCGATTTATTTCAAAGAGATGATTTTTCATATTATATTCATTTTCTAATTCACGTGGAGTTAGGTACATTATCACTTTAGTATTTAGAGAGGGGTAGCATTTCGTGTTTCACTCATCTGAAAGATAACTTCCTACGTTACCATGGAAATTAATTGTCCGATAGATTTAGTATTATTCCTTTTGAAGTACTTACCTATAACAATAAATTATGCTTCATCTAAGCATTTTAATGGCTCCATGCACAATACTGCGTAAGACATCAAGCTAATTTATAGATATTATACGTCACTATACTGTATACTCTGGAAAATACAGGGTGGGCCATTAGTGTGTGGGCGGACGATTGTGGGTTTATTAACGCGCATATTTAAAATTCATTGTGGGAGGAATGTTGCAGGACCCTTGAGGCTACAATCTAAAAATATTTTCACCGAAATTGCAATTGTTATACAGGGTGATTTATATCAAAGTTGCATTTTTTAAATGGAACCCCCTGTATATTATTACATATTTCGATTCCTTGGTCAATTTTAGTGTGACTTTATGCATTACACATGATATCTAAAATGAGTAGTTTAGCCGCAATTCTCGTTTTTTCAAAAAGTAGATGTCCAGTAAAAATTGAATATCGCAGTTATCATAAAATTTAGAAGGCCGTGACTTTGCAGTGGCACTAATCATGAAATGTACTAGAGTAGTCTCAAAATGAGAAGTACATTGTGACGTCATCACTTTCTGCGCGTATTGTTGCCACTAGTGGCGTATCATAGGGTATTTAAATTGAGGTTTGAAAGTACATTTGCTGTGTGAGGCAATGCACAAATGTCAACGCGCGCGCTCCCCTTAGGAGTTATCATGGACTCTCTCGGGCACATTTTCATGCTTTGCGCAAATGACGTCACGATGTACTTCTCATTTTGAGATTACTCTATACGCTGAACAGCTAAAGTTAAACTTTTTTTGTGTTAAAAGAAATCACTCCGTCAATTTTCAAAATTTCAATCAGAGGTAACTTGATTTTTTTAAATGGAATTACGAAGTTTTTTTATTGCATGAAATGTAAAATTTTATTACCTTTCTAACGATATAAGCATGTCGGTATGTATCTCTTACCTATTTTTTGTAATTCAACAATTCAGTGTTTTTGCGATTTTTAAAGCCTCTCAGTAATTAGTAGGCCGTTAAAAATTAAGAACACCAATTCAACAAAACAAAACAAAAACTCTTGTTTGTCCATAGCCCATTTTAAAAGATAAAATAATGAATTTGCATTTAAACCAATGCATGAACTTATAAATAAATAAATTTGAAAGACACATAGAAAATATTAACACAAAATAAAATGAAATAACATCTGTCAGTTTAGTTTATTAGCATTTACAATTCTGTTGTTGAATGTTGTGTTAGAAAAATGGAATTTTAATAACATATTTTAAACGGTGCCCTTTTGTTTGTTCTTCTTCAAAATGTTCCGGTGCACATCGTAAAAGAAATGTGGTTTCAGCATGATGGGATCCTACCTCATGTTGCTATAAACATTAAAGAATGGCTGAATCAACAATTTCCTGGGAGTTTGGTCTTGAACATTTATTGAAATAATTATTTTTCTCTTATTTTTATTTAAACTTTTTATTTTGATTTTTCTAAGTTTTTGTTTTATTTTATTTGCCGTAAATTTTTTTATAAATTCAATTGTTTATAATTTTTAACGGTCTATTAATTACTGAGAGGCTTTGGAAATCTAAAAACACTGTGAATTATTAGAAATTGTTGAATTACAAAAAATATGTAAAAGATACGACATGCTTATAGTGTTAAAAAAGTAATAAAATCTAACATTTGATGCAATAAAAAAACTTAGCAGTTCCATTTCAAAAAAATCAGGTTACCTTTGATTGAAATTTTAAAATTGACGGAGTGATTCCTTTTAACACAAAAGAAGTTTAACTTTAGTCGCTGGGCGTATGTTAGTGCATTTCATGAGTACCACTGCAAAGTCACGGCCTTCTAAGTTTTATAACTGTGATATTCAATTTTTACTGCACATCTACTTTTTGAGAAAACGACGAATTGCGGCTAAACGACTCATTTTAGATATCATATGTAATACGTAAAGTCACACTAAAATTGACCAAGGAATCCAAATATGTAATAATATACACAGGGTTCCATAAAAAAATGCAACTTTGATATAAATCAGTATAACAATTGCAATTTCGTTGAAAATATTTTAGGTTGTAGCCTGAAGGGCCCTTCAACATTCCCCCACGATGCATTTTAAGTATGCGTGTTAATAATCCCACAATCTTCCACCCACACACTAATCGCCCACTCTGTATACGAACTTAATGTCATAAAAAATTATCAAAGTCCTCGTTTGAGATCGAAGGGACTTCAGCGCATTTTTGTGTGGCAGATCAGTATTCTATTAGCCACTTTCGACTCAACCATCAATAACAGATCTTGTCAAAGGCTACTACATTCACTAACCGCTTCCCACTTTCCGCGTGCACCCGCAATTCGCTTTTAAAGTTTTGACTCCACCATCAGTAAGATCGTGTCGGGGGCTACCACATTCCCTTTGACGGTACCCCCTTCCGACGTCCCGTTCACCCGCAATTCGCGTTTGAAGATTTGACTCCACCATCAGTAAGATCGTGTCGCGGGCTACCACATTCTCTTTGACGGTACCCACTTCCGACGTCCCGTTCACTCGCAATTCACTTCTATTGGCGGCACGAGAAAGAGAGACAGCGATTCGAGATTTACGAAACGTTAAACCGCGTGAGTTCGCAACGGAAGATAAAAGGCGCCCGAAGTTGACTACTTCTCGAAGACGCGCGCGCGCGCCTCGCAAAAGGTCGTTAATTTCGCCCCTATGACAAAAAACAAAATTCCGCCACGCAGGAGTTGTGCGCGTTTACAACATCTTTCCGACGACACCAATTTGAAAAGAATCGGACCAAAACTGTAATAGAAGATAGGAAAAAACTGAAAAACCTTCACGTTAGTATACTACGCTCGAGGATGACGCTCAGATGTCGCCAACCCCACATCATGTAGCCATGTCCCTAAGGTTGACAAATTTCACGGCCCCGTAGGTACACGTACACCCGTTGCCTTTCTACAAGAGTTCTTCTACGCGCCCACATTTGCTGCCAGCCAGCCAGCCAGCCATCCAGCCAGCCAGCCAGCCAAAGTGAGATTAAAAGCTACTTTTTACAAATAAATTTGCAAAAATGCGCTAAAAAGGCGAAACTTTATTGGCTTTTGGCTGTCTTATTGCTCTTACAATTCCATGGCATCAATAATTTTTCTAAAAATGAATGATATACGAACCTAATAATTAAGATTCCTTTATTTCATTGTCTGTCGAACGATAGGGCGAACGCCTGCGTGCGTTGTATGTGTAAAAACAAGCCCTGAATGCTTTTCTTTCTTGCAGCATTGTTGTTTTGATGTATCTTATGTTTTGTCTTTGTCAATTAATTAACTATGTGTTTAATCGAACCCTTTTGTTCTAAATTAGTTTCGAGAAGCCAATGCTTGAACGTCACACACTCAGTATTTAAAATCCTATGCTGCATCGCAAACGTCATGCCACCATCTGATATAAGAGCTACAGCTATCACGGCTCATGGCCCAATCAGTTCCTCGGGTCGCCCGGCCTAAGTGGGGGTACATTTTATCGGAAAAAATTTGTGAAAATTGATCATTTTAGTTCTTCCTTAATAAAAATAACCATTTAGCTTAAATTACACGTATAACAAACCTACCGCCCACACAAGTACCGATACCTCTTAAAACGCGCCCTATTCGCATTCGTAAATACTTCAAAAACCACCCGCATAAAGAACGTCAGACGAAAAGGTGCTGAACCCTTATCCGGTTAGGTCTGTTAAAATACCCTTCCGACGATTGAAGACGAGAGAAATGGAGTCGCGCATCTTTCTATAAGAACATGAGCCGTCGAAAAATACAAAGCCCACCAATTCGATTCTACTTGGCGTTTAGTGTCCACCAGTTTTCTCTCCGTGAGTTTCTGCGACTCTTCTGGCTAATGCTGGCGCCGATATCTTCCGTGGCCGAAAATTACAGCAGTACTACAGCAACGGCAAGAGGTTACCACCACCACAGTTACCAGCGATGGGGGTGTGGCCGCTATTAAAATTAGTGAAAATTCTAATTGTACAATTACTGTTAATATTACTAGTAACTCTTAAGCTTTCGAATAATATTGTAAATCGTCTTAAATGAATTTGACGTTTCTTCTTGTCAGAAAATTATCAATTGCTACTCAACACTTTCCGGCCTTGTGATGTAATAGGTCATAAATGATGTAATGTACTGTATAGCGGATAGTATGAAATAAATGAAGGTTTCATGACGATTTTGGGTAAAATAATATGTAATTATGCATTTGAGTTTCCATCGACGTGAGTTGATTTTTATGTAACTTTTCTTTTCCCACTTAAACTTGAATACTAGGATCGTACGTCATTATTAAAGTTACCTACTTTGCCCACCTTTTGTTAAATTTAACTGACAGACAACTCCCACGGAGAAGCCTGTGGATACAATTACTTCAATGGAAATTACACTAGAAATTACATGCATGGATTAACAGTGACACTCTCTGTTACCTATTTCAGGGTAGGTATACTTTTCTATGTAGGCAAAGTTATGAAGTTTTGATATCAAAAAGTTAAAATGCGATTGTTTATCATATCCAACATCGTTGAGAGCTTTTCTTTTAATGTAAGAAGATTGATAGACATATATTGTGATAGTTTAGTAAATCATTCCTTACCTCGAATTGGCGATTGATGATCTAATTGCAATTTAAGATTGATCCCTCTTCGTGAAAATCTAACCGTATGCCATTCATTATCGTTTACATTTTGGCCCGCTAACAAGATCTGGAAATCGGTAAATTTAAACCTTACAGATACACTCTGCAAGCCGCCTCTAAATTTCACCTTATCCTTCTCTTTGTCCTCATCCTTCCTTTCCTTGACACCCATCCTGAGTGCCATGCGAATTCTGCCAGCTGCCACTGCAAGTTCAATACGATCACCGGTTTCTGACGTGCTTGTAATAAACAGTAATCCTAAAGGTTTACTTGTACGAAACCGTAAAATAACATCTTCAGTTTGTGTTTCGGTCTCGGAATCCATTATAACCTCCATATGCTGAGATCCATTAAAATTAAGGGTCGCTGATTCTTTACCACAAGTGGGACCGGTGAATGTAGTATCGGTACAATCGCATATAAATCTATTCCATCCCTCTGAACAAGCTCCGCCATTCAGACAGGGTTGTGAAGGACATTGAAGTGGTTGTACGTGACATAAGGTTCGAATTGATCCTGAAATATAAATAATCCGAATTAAATTTACCACAGCCAAGTTGAAATTTTAATTAAACTACCATTAAGTGTCTCAACCGATTCCACAATTATTATGTAAACGTCGTTAAACAATTACTTGAATTAACGAAGCTGATGCACTAGACACCTTAATTCGCTAGGATGTCAAGTTTATGTATGTAGAAAAGATTTTAGATGCTTTCTCATTATCTTGTCAAATTCTCGTTTACTACTGTAGCGTATGTAATGGTCACTGATCTGGAAAATTACCTTTTGATGTAAATTTCGTGTATAACTTTTTGGTAGAGATGGATTTTTTAATACGACTTCAATATTTTGGCAGGCATACGAAATTGATGGTACACACCTTGCGAAAAAATTGAATTCAATTTGGTTAGATCTGAACAAAGAAAATGCCCTTGCTTGTATTTTGAGTGATGTATTCACAAATCTCTATGAAGCTAAAAATTCGTATGCCGTTTTTGCATACTATAACTGGCGATGGTGTGGAAATTGAGGATTTGTCTCGTTAGGCGGAACTTATGTGAGTGTTACGTTAGACGTTTATGGATCTTGAGTGAATTTCATAAACAGCCAATTGAAAGTTCCAAACTACGTAATTTAATGAAGTCGAAAGTTGGATTACATACTTAGTAAAGTTATAATAATTGAACGACTATAATTATTTATCACTTGAATTGAACAACGCATTACAGTTTGCGGATTCGATAATGAACGTGTCGTTACAATGTGCTTGTCACTATCAAAAACCGCCAACATTAATGGATTTACAACACATTGCTTTTGCTGATTATATAGGTATATTCTTCAATGGGGATGAACAGATTAACGGAATTGTTAGGTTCAAACAGAGCTCGATGAATCTATAAGGGGATGATTACGTCTAAATGAGCAAATAAGGAAAGGCTCTGACAATTCCAAGTACTGCAGGGTTTCACGAAGGAGAACATGATGGTTTTCAGGAGCAAATGTGATTTTTCTGCAGCCGTTTTGTGCCCTGCTCTTCTTGGTGTCAACACAAAACTCGACTCACCGCAACACCTCACTCTGCCTACAACAAGCATTGATCGACACGGTACAGCCAATGCAACTACCATTACACCGTTATTACAATATCGGAGGCATGTAAACAGCACCAACAAAATTTCAAACCGTCGGTGGCTAACTTCAGGCCCAAAAACCCGATAGCTTTTCCAAAAATTCACTTCTTCAATATCAAGATAAAGTCAATGATAAAGCGTTCCACGTTTTTTCAATAAAATCGGTGTTAAATAAAGATTTGGAATCAAGTCTTTGATAATTAGGAATTGTGGTTCTAGGGCTTTCGTTTTTATAATTTTAAAAATTGGAGAACTTTGGTGTACTGTATCACAGTTTTAAGATGGATTCATTTATTGTTTTTATTAGAGCTGTTCTTATTTGTACTAATTACTGTTTTCTATTTTGTCCCCTATTAGCGGAAGTGAAATTGAATTTCAACAAAAAGGAAAGTTCTACTTTTTCATTTAGCATCATTCACTTAGTCATAATATGGCGTTAGATAATTCAGACAATAGTAATACATTACATTAATAGTTTACCTGACAATTAATTGCTGTTTTTCTCATATGAAACTAATTAAACTTCCAATTGAAATAACCCCATCGCAAGTAGTACAAGTAACAAGATTAATAATGTTAACTTGAAATTTGTAGTTGCTTAAAATAAGCTTTGCGGTAGAAATCTACATTTGTTTTGTTAATTGCCAGACGGTCAACTTTAGTTACTACACTAATTACAAAGGGATGTCGCGTGTGTAATTTTATACAAGTATACATTTACATCACGTGATTAGTTACTTCTTCCTACTATTTGTGTTTTATTATTCTTCCAAATTTGCACCCTAATTCAAGGACGGTGGTTGGCACGATACGTTTGATACGTAGGTACACACAAAGAGTTGAACGAGAAATCGTTTTTCACCTAATATTTGATTCGAGTTTCCGAAAATATGCTTTAGTCAAATGAAATTACCGCTGGAATCCGTTTAGGAATGAAAAGAAGGGGCAATTTTATTATTGTTTAGGATTGTATGATTGGCTTGCAATCTTGTGCCAAAACGAGATTGAAGTTGTCCAGATGGAACTATCTAATCACTCTCAACATGTCACAACGCAAGCGGTAGAGAAAATATTCAATATCCTAGCCACGTCACTCATACACTGGACATTTTTACTACCGTCCATCAATTATGACCCAGAAAACGATAGTAAACCCGTGTCCACAAAGTTGTGGCATACCCTCCGCTGCATATTGAACTATACATCTTTAAAACGTGATGTCGCCCACCCCCAAGATCGGTAACGCAGACGTGATAATTTAGAATCCCGCGGAAGAAGCTGTGAGAGAATTACTACGTCGGAAATTGCATGCAAGTTCGTAGAAAAATCAATTGACCGATCCTGTTTTTTGTGCATAGCTCGGAGCTCTATCTATTCTATTCTATTCTATCAGGGGAGCCTTTACAGGCAGCACTTAGGCTCATCAAAGGCCCATTGTGCTAACCCCCTCTCTAAACAACCAAAGCTTAGAGCCCGTTCCCTTCAATGAAGGATAAGACCCTGTTTAGCCTTAGTTTCCTCACCTCTCTCGGTTCCAAGTAACTGTCACCGAGGAGTTTATGTCTGTCCCTGATCAGAGCGTCACAGTAACAGACTACATGCTCGGTAGTTTCCTCTACCTCACCACAAAACCTGCACGCAGGGTCTTCCACAAGCCCAATATTGTGCAGGTGATAGTTGACCATCCAGTGTCCCGTGAAGACACCGACGATCTTCCTAATCTGACTTCTGTTTAGGTTTAGAAGCTTAGAAGACTCAGATTTGCCAAGAGGCCCTGTTAAAAAGGTCTTGGACTGTCTGAGTCCAGCTGCCTGTTGCCATTGAGCCTGGAATTGACTGGTCGCCCAGTTCTTAATCCTGACCCTGACAACTGAGGGAGCAATTCCAAGGGTGGGCTCAGGCCCGACAAGGACCCCACTACTGCCTTCGCGAGCCAACTCGTCCGCCCTTTCGTTGCCCCCTATTCCAGAGTGCCCCGGCACCCATATCAAGCTTACCCTATTAGACTCACCTAATCTATCTAGGGTTCGCCTACAGTCAAGCATCGTATTCGAGCGGACCCTGTCAGCTGACAGAGCCTTTAACGCCGCCTGACTATCACTACATATGTATATATGCTGGTTACGATAACCTCTACGGAGGTTTTCTTGCGCACAGGTCGTGATGGCTAGCACCTCTGCCTGAAACACAGTACTGTGCTGGCCAAGGGAGAGGCTGATGCCTACTCTCGGCCGGTCACCGTGTATACCCATGCCCGTTCCCTTTTCCGTTAGGGACCCATCGGTAAACCACACGAGCCCCTCAGGTTTGAGGAACGGACGATCTGGGTTCAGCCACTGCTCCCTGTTCGGGAGAATGACTTTATACCTCTTCGGTTCAAGTAGGGTAGCTCGAATCACGTCCCTTCTTGCGAGGAAGGGGTCGGACCTAAGAGTTTCCTCCCAGATCCGCCCGTGTCCGAGACTGCCTCTATCCTTCCACTCACCCCAATCATTTAGTCTTATGGAAGCCCTCCGGGCCTCGGCCTCTACCGATAAGTGTAGAGGTTCAAGTCCCAGAAGAGCCTCCACAGCCAACGTTGGCGTGGTTTTCATGGCTCCAGTGATTCCCAAACAAGCGAGTCGCTGTACCTTACTCAGCTGCTTCTTGTATGTTACCCTGCGCGTTGCAGGCCACCATACAAGTGCGCCGTACAATATTATCGGCCTTATCACCGAAGTGTAAAGCCAATATACTAGTCGAGGATTTAATCCCCATGTGCAGCCGAAAGCTCTCCTGCATGCCCATAGACATGCAGTGGCCTTCTTGCTAATTCGCTCAATGTGCCCTTTCCAGGACAGACGGGAGTCTATAGTGACCCCCAAATATTTAACTGACCTGGTCAGACACAATTGGCGTCCTCGAAGGATGAGACCGTCAAGGTCCACATTCCGTCTCCTCGTAAATGGAACAATTTCGGTCTTTTCCGGGTTGACAGAGAGACCGTGGCTACTGCACCATCTATCCACCTGTCCAAGAGTCCTCTGCATGAGCTCTTTTACGGTGCTCGGAAACTTCCCCACAATGACAATTGCGAGGTCGTCTGCGTATCCCTGTGTATACGCTCCATCCTCGTTTAGTGTACGAAGGAGCCCGTCTATCACCAGGCACCACAGTAGTGGAGACAGTACTCCACCCTGCGGACATCCTCTAGTGACCGATGAGCTCATCTCCGTAGTTCCGATCGAGGTTATGATGACCCTGCCTCCAAGCATGGCCCGGATCCATCTTACGATTGACCCGTCAATGCCAAAGCTTTCAGCAGCCTCACTAATGGAATCGAACGTGGTGTTGTTAAACGCACCTTCGATGTCCAAAAAGGCTCCCAGAGCTACCCCTCCAGCAGACATTCCCCTCTCCAGTCTACACACGAGACTGTGAAGAGCCGTCTCCGTGGACATGCCAGCTCTGTAAGCGTGTTGAAACGGGTGTAGTGGTCTAAGGACCAGCGCCCCGTTTCTTATGTATGCATCCACCAGCTTTTCTACCGCTTTTAAAAGAAACGATGATAGACTGATGGGCCTATAATCCTTTGCTGTGTCGTACTTAGTACGACCCGGCTTAGGTAAATACACAACTCTGACCCTTCTCCAGCTTATGGGGATGTACCCCAAAGCCACAGAGGCCCCAAAGAGGTGCAACAAGTGCAGAAGTAATGGTTCCAGGCCCTTTTGCAAAAGAGCCGGAAATATCCCATCAGGTCCTGCGCTCTTAAATGGGCTAAACGTATTGATAGCCCATCTCAGGGATCCCTCGGTAACAACCCCGGCAGCTACTCTCCAGTCGATCGGCCTTGCACCGACCCGGGTAGCACCTTCTGGCGGTTCCGAAGTTACATAG